CTCTGGAATGTAGCTGGAGTGTTTTTTAGACCAAACGGCATCCGGACATACTCGTAATGGCCATTTTCGACATTGAAAGTAGTTTTGGATATACATATCTTTGTTAGCCATTTCGATTTGGTGAAAACCACTTGCCAGATCCAAGGTCGTGAAGTACTGGCATCTATCAGGTTTGTCCAAGATATGTTTGGAATTCCAGAGGCGTCTGGTTTTTTTGGAACTATATATATCGGGGAAGACCAAGGTGACTGGCTTGGTCTGATAATTCCATCAAAGATATTTGCTTTTTCACACCCTCTTTATGGATATGTGGATATCTATATGACTTGGTTTACACTGGAATGTCATCTTTTTGTTTTAATATGGTGTTTGATCTGGTTTGTAAAGGTCAGGGACATTTCTAGATAATGGAAAATGTCTACATAAATTTTGTATTGCCTTTAATTCCTCTGAATTTAGGTGATTAATTCTGCAATTCTTATTTTGGTAGAAGGATCGTACCCTGTTGTAGTATAACATACCCGGGTTCGTTCAGTAACATTGAACGGTGTGAATTTTTATTATCTTTTAAACAACAAATCTTCTGAAAAATGAAATGAAAAACAAATAGAACCTACGTTGTGGAAACTTACTCAATTTTACTTACTGGACATGCGCCTGACATAGCAAATATTTGGGAAATTTAAGGGAAGTTGTGATATGTAAAAGAAACGAAAAATTTGTGAAACGTCTACTTTATTATTAAAGTAAATCGTACCGTTTTCATCCTGGAACTAACGAGGGGAGAGAAACCCTCGATCTACATTCCTCAAAAATCGAAACATACTGTGTCATTTTAATAATAATTCTGAGTCATTAATTCAATAATTTGAGTCAATAAGTTTAAAATTAGGTACCGCCCCTGTTCTTGTGCTAAAATTTCAATTACACACATTACATTCAATCAACACTACCTATAATCAATACTGAACAGTTTTTTTGTTAGTTAGCCGGTCTGCCGGACGGTACTGAGGTCCCATACGGGATGCTACCTAGCTATAGTTGTTTCTGAGCCAATATCTCTAGATTGGTTATTTCAATTTGCTACGATTTTCTCTCGTCAGGGTGGGAAAATGTTAGTAAATTCAACAAGGCCCTAATGCACGCTCTAAATCCAAAAATCAAAATCTCAGCACAAAAAGACAGTACATAATTTCTTAGGTTTTATCTGTGTTGTTTACAGCATGAAATGATTTTTGTTAAATACATGAACAAAGCACATGTTATAAAAAAATGTTATAAACAAACAAAAAAACATAAAAATTGGAAAAAAAAAATACTTGTATAATTTGAACTCCCAAAAACAAAATAACAATTATTCAACTGACCTGTGATGGCTCTTTGACACACACACTGATAACAAATTGGATTGAACAATCAGTTTAATACAAAATAAAAATAAATTTTGAATAATCAACAATGACGGACAAACGGTCTTAAGGGACCAGCCCAAACAATGGGCCCAAGCCAAGCGTCTTCTCTATCTTCGCCCCAAAATCTAAACTTCGTGGCGCAGTACATGGTTGCAATATTTACTTTTATTCAGTAAACGTTTTTTTAAAAAGTTAAGATTCAAAGAAATAATATTTTAAATAGGTGGTTTTCCTCACTGTGTTTCTTTTACTGGAAGCCGTATTCGCGTTGCGTTGGTCGGCGAAGTTTTGTAACAGAACTTTTTTAATTGCTTTACAATCAAGGCATCCATAGTTTCTTTTGCTCGACCAGTAACTTTGCTTGTTGCTACCAGTGTTGTATTCCAGTAATAATTTAGTAGCATTTCCCGTTATATTCTGGAATAATCACCAGGTTCTTCATGTCGAAAGTTGGAAGATTGGCAGGCCTGTTTTCTTCGGATTTTTCTTTTGGGGGAAGATGGGGAAGTACAGGTAAGTTTTTTAAGTCAGTTGTAACGTAGGTTACTAAATTTTTATTGTTTTATCCGCGTTTCCGTTAATTAAATTAATTCCGTACCGATATGTTGTGTCGACGCGTGACCTCGAATGCAAAGCACTCTCCAGTATAAACCGACGTGCGCGCCGCGTTTCAAAAACTCGATTCCCCACCGCTGGTATCTGCGCTGCCGTCTGACGACGACGTGACGCGGCGCCTCCCGATTATTTATACGGCAGCACACACTGCAGTCGGCCACTTCTCTCCGAGCTCCGATTCCGACCAGACCTACCGACCAGCACCAGCCGCCAGCTACAAGCAATGTAAGTCCGTTTTATCCGCCGCCGCCGCCGCCGCCGCTTGCCGACGTCAGCACCGTCGCGACGCCAGATGAGGGCTCAGTAAGTAATAGGTATGGGTAAGAAGGCAGGTATTCTCTCTCTCTCTCACACTGCAAGAGCGGAGCTACGGGTGGGAACACGTACTGGGTAGCTCTGTTCTTGTAGTGAAAGACCTAAGGGGGCTACGGGCTGGAATACGTACAGGGTAGCACTCTTCTGTCTCGATTGGTGGATAGAGGAAACGAAACCACGGGTGGGAACACGTACTGGGTGGTTTTGTTTCCTCTATGGGAAGACAAAAGGGGGCCACGGGCTGGAACACGTACAGGGTGGCACTCTTTGTCTCACACTTCTTCTGACTTCATATTCCACGGGGACCTGCTTTCTGCCTATTGTTAAATTCACGCATGCGCCATAGGGCGCTGATCCGAGTTGCTGACGCCGGTAAGAGTCGGACCGTACAAACCATAATTCCGGAGCTTCTTGCCTGTTTCACCGCACCGTCATTGTTTACCGCACCGTCATTTTCACCGCACCGTCATTGTTTACCGCACCGTCATTTTTTACCGCACCGTAATTTCTACCGCACCGTCATTTCTACCGCACCGCCATCTTTACCGCCGCGCTATACCAGCCCAGCACCGTCACGCATATCACTCCGTCTCTCTCTCATACTCGTTCACACACTCTCTCCCTCCGGGTTAAGCATTTCATTTCAATAAATCCGCATCTTAATTAGGTTTTCTTGCATTTCCTTTCTATTGTTATTTCTTTGGGCATTAATAAAAGTGCATTGTTGGATATTATGTGTTTCATTTTGGGGAAAATGCGCATCGACCTCTGGTTTTTCCGTCTCCACTGTTTAAAAGCTACCTAGTGCCCGTGGGCCCTTAACCACATTAATCCTAAGGGTGGCGCCCGAGTTTTCCGAAAACCCCGAACCGACCGCTTTCTTACCGGAAAACCAAAGTAGCGCTACACAGTAAGAGTTAGTACTTGGAGTTTTTTTAGTAAATTGTCAGTAGACATATGCCTATACAGTAATAAAAAGACGTAATGGTGCATATTAACACTAAAAGTCACAGGCACTAAACTTTGTCGGAGAACTCTAAAGTTTCCTTTGCGATATGATTCACTAGCGGATAAACGATGAAGATCTTCATGGGTTCAATAATATTCGGTGGTATTTCGGATATATGGGGGTCATTGATCCGTAATTGACGTCTCTAAGATGACCACAAACAACACTCAAGACGTAAGTCTTGCTTACATCTTTGAGGTGTCTTGAAGAAATATTGAAGTCGTCGTATGTTACAAAACCTAACATCTTCCAGACGTCTGCCTAAAGACATCTTTAGGACTAAGACATTCTAAAAACGTCTTCAACGACATGTCTTGAAGACGTCTTTGAATCTCTTTTGAATACATAAACCATTATTCACTCTTAGGCCTGGTTGTACCAAATACTTGTATTTCAGATGTGAATTTCCCAACTAACATTTTTCGCAGCTCAAGGTTTTATTATGAGGTAACGGATATTTATAGGGGGTTTATAAGAAACCTTTATTTTTATAATGGTTTTTATAGTTTTATAAGAAAACCATTGGTGTGGACTCGACTCGAAATAAAATATATTTTAATGATGTGGAAAGTGATGAAACGAAAAGGGGGCGTTTATTGTTTGGTGTTTATAAAGACTACTTAGGTTTTATATCGGTAACGAAAAGGTATTCCTTGCCATTATAAAACTTATTTATAGTTTATAAAGGTAACGACAACCTCTCAGTTCCAAATAAATGGGGAATAAAAGTTTTATATGGGGACCAAAATTTGGTCACCGTTACCTTTATAAGATTCTCCATTTAAGTGCTATAAGCGTTTTATAAGAGTAACGAAAACGTTTCGCAAACAATTAATAGGTTCTCAGGATTTATAAAATAGGTAATCGAAACGTAACCATTACCAATATAAAACAAAAAATGTTAGTTGGGTTACGACATTTCATGGACATCCTCAAAACCACATCTTTTTTGTCTCCAGACGTTCAGATATAAAACAGACTTAAAAAAGACGTCTTTTCAAGACCTTGTGTGCTGTAGGGGCTTTACGTCCAATGCTTTCTAAATCCAGAAAAAATTCTAAAAGAAAGTCTACCCCTTCCTTAATGGGGATTCCCCAAAAATTCGAAGTTAGCTTTTTTTAGAATTTCGAAAAACCAAAATTATGTATACGGTAGAGAATTCTAACAGAAACCGAAGAGGTCTCTTGAAAATTTAACGCCCAACGCCTCCTTAAGAAATTCTAGAAAAAAATCTACTCATTTTTACTGGGGTTTTCCAAATTTGAACCTTGCATCATAACTTAGAAAACCAAAAATATTTCCCATCGTTGGTAGAAAATAAATGAGGTAAGCATAAGTGTGATTTATGCATAAGGCCGATTAACGGTAGAAATTATTCTCCATCATCCGCCTGACAAATTTATAGCCTTCTTGGCCTCGCCATCAAAAAGTTTTGCAAAGATTTTATCGTTTATTGCCAAAATATACCATCAGGTTGATGTCAAATCCACTACCATTTACCGTCGAGACACCACCAAGCCATTTATTACTTCTTCCGAGATGTATCAGTAAGGTTCCGACTGAAACCCACACGCACATATACATATTTTAGAATAATGACCCGAATTTAAGGAACGTAACGCTACTCGGGATTTTTCTGTAATCGCGACATGGTTCTGCATTTAAACGGTGTACCGTCGAGATTCGTTTGGGTTCTCGCGCTTCTCGACTTTTGTGGTTCTAATGGATTATTTAGCTTTACCGAGTTTGTGGTCGGGCCAAGGGTTGGTAGAGGTTTACCTATCAAAAGTTCTACATTATCTATTGCTGTAAGTAAATATATTTGATTTTGTTCCAATTATATTATCAATAACAAGCTTTATATTATTTACTAATTCTCTAATATAATATAAAAATTCATTAGTCTGATGTTTATAAATTTCATAAATCCTGTATCCATGAATCTATGTTAATGACACAAATAAAACTGAAAACCGACCTCACCAATGATGGTGTACGCGATTTTTTCGAAGTTTCGAATAACAGTAAAAAAATACTTAAAAGAGCTCTGCACAGGCTGCAAATCGATGAATTTGCTTATGAGAATCGATGAAAATAGAAATTTAATGTTGCATTTATGATACAAAAACAATGTGATTTCTGGTTATCATTTTTGCTAAGGAGGAAAATTGCCAGTAAAATTTTCTTCTTTCCACATTATTGCAAGTAATTATTTTTGAAATATCAAAATTTAGCAACCTAATTACAATGCAATGTAATTACAGTTATTTTTTATCAATTATATTTGTTTTTATTTAATACAAAAAATAATGGACGTTAATTATTGTAGGTATATATTCGTTGCTTAATTACCGGTCAGCACGCGAATGTAATAAGTAGATAGACACTATATAAACTTGGATTAATTTCTCCAATTATAGTTGATTTTCAGTTTTAATTAGCACAAATTTTTGAGGATTTTCAAAGAAAATTTTACATCCTTTAATAATTGAGGTAACAAAACAAGAATCACCTTGACCTAAGGACGTTGGAATGTTAATTATATTATTCCACGCACCAATCATGAATCATGAGAAGCAGAAGAAAGTGCTTAATCATTTTGCATTGAATTTTTTTTTTCTCGTTGTTTATTTATTTGTTTAATAATAAAATATGATTACGATGAAGAAAGTAACTATGATTTCAAATGTGCTCTTACTTTTTGTTGTGTGTGGTTTGCGATAGAATACATATGAACAAATATCCGAAAAAAAAAATTCTGCACACAAGTCATTTGTAAAGAAAAAGATATAAGTAATCAATAATAAAAAAAATTATAATCACGACACGTATTGCAACCTTAACTATAGAATTAAAAATTATTATTAACCTTGCAAAATTTTATTGTCTCCTATTTGGTCACGAATTTAAGTACATATGACAAAAATGGACCAAGTTTAATGTACCATACGTGCCTAATCTTGTTTTCGATTTAAGTAAACATAATAATGTAATTTATGTAGTTATTTATTTAAGACAAGATGTTTAGATCAAGGGGTAAACCTCCCCCCGAATTTGTGCAAACAATTTCTCAAACTTCCTGCAAAAGGACCCTGCCCAAAGTATACGGAAATTGTGTTTATGTCAGAATTGGCTGAATTTTGTATGTAATGTAGATCAGGCCTTTCTGATTAAAAGTTACCGTTGCACCAATCCTGGAAAATTACTATACGTGGCACACCACTGCGCCACAAGCTCACCTATTTGTGTTACATTGTATGTACTTGAACAATAACTTATTATAATATATTACTTTACCAAAATAGTAACATATTGTGACAAGTTATTCGAGTACAAACGAGTGGATTGTTGCGGAATGTATGGGTGGACCTCTGCGGGACGAGCGCAGCGAGTTCCGCAGTCATCTATTCATTAATACGTTGTTCAAGTACGATACTAACCTGAATTACTCAAATGTCAGTTATTCTCATTAGTTCAAAAACTAAAAGTTACAGGTGAGTATCTTATTTGAATAGTTCACCAGTATATTGGTAAGCAGATGGCTGCGGAACTCGCTGCAGTCGTCCCACAGCGGTTCACCCATAAGTTCCACAATAATCCACCTATTTGTACTTGAACAATAACTTATTATGTAAAGTCAAAATTTGTAAGATTATGATTATTCACTTTTTGTCAATTTGCCTGTCAATAGGAATAAGTAATGTTACTTTACCAAACTATAACATAATGTGACAAGTTATTCAAGTACAAATGAGTGAATTGTTGCGAAACTTATAGATAGATCTCTATCTATTCAACAATATGTTGTTCCATTATACGTTTCAGATGAATGTCTTACTTGAACAGTTCAACAGTATATTGGTGATTAGATGGCTACGGAACTTGCTGCGCTCGTCCCGCAGAGGTCCACCCATAAGTTCCGCAACAATCCACTTATTTGAACTTGAACAATAACTTATTTTATAAAGTCAGAATTTGTAAGATTATCCACTTTGTGTCAATTTGCCTTTCAACAGGATTTAGTAATGTTACTTTACCAAACTAGTAATATATTGTGACAAGTCATTCAAGTACAAACGAGAGGATTGTTGCGGAACTTATGGGTGGACCCAACCATCTATTCTCCAATATGTTGTTCAAATACAATACTAACCTTATTCACTCAGTTGTGAATTTTTCTCATTAGTTCAAAAACTACACTTTTCAGGTGAGTGTCTTATTTGAACAGTTCAACAGTATATTGGTGACTTTGTGTTACATTGTATGTACTTGAATAATAACTTATTATATGTTACTTTACCAAAATAGTAACATAATGTGACAAGTTATTCAAGTACAAACGAGTGGATTGTTGCGAAATTTATGGGTGGACCTCTGCGGGACGAGCGCAGCGAGTTCCGCAGTCATCTATTCATTAATACGTTGTTCAAGCACGATACTAACCTGAGTTACTCAAATGTCAGTTATTCTCATTAGTTCAAAAACTACAAGTTACAGGTGAGTGTCTTATTTGAATAGTTCACCAGAATATTGGTGAGTAGATGGCTGCGGAACTCGCTGCGGTCGTCTCACAGAGGTCCACCCATAAGTTCCACAATTTTTTTTTTTTTTTTTATTTGTCAAACACATTGTGTTTATTACATTACAATCTAGTCAGTAAGACTAATTAGCAATTTTGTTTTAACCTAATTTACTATAAAATTTACAATTCTTGAGGTTCACTCAACAGTTTTCCCCACTTTGCTTAAACTGTAAATCACAATTTTGATGTGTTTATAGCACTGTTTTGTTGTGTTTTTCAATTTCAGTTCACTAGCTCGAACGGCTTCACCCTTCTCAGTCTTCTAACTAGCTCAGTATTGTCTAGGAGCTCAATCACTTCCACATTCACATGCCGATGTAGTCTATCTTCATGGCTTTTTGCGTACTTTCTTATAGTCTCTGTTACAGTATCAATTCCTAGTTCCCGATGTAGATCACTATTTCGAACGTACCAAGGTGCATTAACAATGTTTCTTAGTACTTTATTTTGGAATCTTTGAATGGAATTCAACTTTGGGGTTGCACTAAAGATAGTAACATACAAGTTCCACAATAATCCATCTATTTGTACTTGAACAATAACTTATTATGTAAAGTCAAAATTTGTAAGATTATGATTATTCACTTTTTGTCAATTTGCCTGTCAATAGGAATAAGTAATGTTACTTTACCAAACTATAACATAATGTGACAAGTTATTCAAGTACAAATGAGTGAATTGTTGCGGAACTTATAGATGGACCTTTATCTATTCATCAATATGTTGTTCAATTACACGTTTCAGATGGATGTCTTACTTGAACAGTTCAACAGTATATTGGTGATTAGATGGCAGCGGAACTCGCTGCGCTCGTCCCGCAGAGGTCCACCCATAAGTTCTGCAACAATCCAGTTATTTGAACTTGAACAATAACTTATTATATAAAGTCAGAATTTGTAAGATTATCCACTTTTTGTCAATTTGCCTTTTAACAGGATTTAGTAATGTTACTTTACCAAACTAGTAATATATTGTGACAAGTTATTCAAGTACAATCGAGAGAATTGTTGCGGAACTTATGGGTGGACCCAACCATCTATTCACCAATATGTTGTTCAAGTACAATACTAACCTTCTTCACTCAGTTGTGAATTTTTCTCATTAGTTCAAAAACTACTCGTTTCAGGTGAGTGTCTTATTTGAACAGTTCAACAGTATATTGTTGACTTTGTGTTACATTGTATGAACTTGAACAAGAACTTATTATATGTTACTTTACCAAAATAGTAACATAAAGTGACAAGTTATTCAAGTAAAAACGAGTGGATTGTTGCGGAATTTATGGGTGGACCCAACCATCTATTCACCAATATGTTGTTCAAGTATAATACAACCTTATTCACTCAGTTGTGAATTTTTCTCATTAGTTCAAAAACTACACGTTTCAGGTGAGTGTCTTATTTGAACAGTTCAACTGTATATTGGTGAGTAGATGGCTGCGGAACTCGCTACGCTCGTCCCGCAGAGGTCCACTCATAAGTTCTGCAATAATCCACTTATTTGTATATACGTTTATTACAATGTACAATGTCTAAGCGTTTTACATACTTGCTACCTATGAATACTATGAAATTAATTTTTTCAAAGAGGAATCATTTTTCAGGTTTGGTGCAATGGTAACTTTCAATCAGGAAGGCGCGATCTACATTATATATAAAATTCTGCCAATTCTGACATAAACTCAATCTCCGTAAACTTTGGGCAGGGTCCTTTTTTTAAATTCCCCACAAATTCCCAGCAAATTTCTTCAAATTGTTCGCAAATTTCCTGCAACTGCCTGTTACAAATTCCAAGAAATCCCCAAAATTGTGCGTGATAAGGAAGGTATTTTTCTATATTTATTAGGCTCAGTAGTGTTAAACCAATAAATTTCCCCAATTTCTCATACATACATCAGTCTAATTTTCCATATAAATTCCTTCAAATTCCCTACAGTTTTTGCAAAGAATTTCTAAGTAATTTGCTCCTTGAAGATGTACGATCAGTTTTGAAAGGCTTGCCAGTAACAGTTTTGGAGAGGAAGGAGAGTGAACTTTCAGGGAAATTCCAAAGGAATTTTAAGAATCCATTAGAAAAAAATTCTAATGAAGGTCCAGTAAAGCACATGGAATTCAGAAACCAAGATGGTTTTATGGTGACTCTAAGAGAAGAGGTGATGCAGGTGTCAAGTGTTGAAAACCCGGAGTTTTCCGCTAGCTCCAATGTCGTACTTCGATTATTAAAACTCTGTAATATATAAAAAAAAGGTTTCGTTTATTAAAATTCTCGTTGAGGGGGACATTTTGTAAAGAATGTTGAAAGGCAACTCGACTGTTCTGAGTGAGGCTCTGAATTTCAATGCCCTGCCTCCTGCCTTCAATTTTTTTCCACCAAGTACGGCAAGTTTCGACCTCCCTATAAAGAAGGGTATTTTTACAATTTCCTAAAATTAGCTAATCCTAACAACATATTTTATTAGGTGCTTGAATATTACGAAACGTTTGTACAATCATAAACCTAAAATTAACCTATAATTCTCATCATCTGTATTATAAAAGAAGACCTGGGAAATATTTTTATTAACAGTTATTGTTCTTATATTAAGATTATTCTTAACTTACTATGTCTTTGACGGCAAGAGTGCTTTACATAGGCTGTATTTAATTTAGTTTTATATTTACAATAATTGGGGTTCCTGCAATAGAAGTACCGAGATTTAAGAAATTGGTGTGAACAGGACAATAATTCTAGCTGGCATAGTCTTTGAACCCCAAGACTCCAAATTTGGGACTTAATTACACAAATGGTGGAATTTATTGAAGAGAAATTGTAGCGAACATCAGGATTATGAATAATATAAGTAATAATGAATTCACTAGTTTACAACACAAGCAACTCTACGCAGAACTTCAAGGGTTAAGGCTCAGTACAGTTATCGAACAATGTGGAAAAGCATTGTCAGGATTGCTGGGGGCACGAGTTTTATGTAGGAAGGACAGTGTGGTCCCAGTGAGGTTATTGAATATAAACAGAGAAAGAATTAACTTTAAAGAGTTGATCTCTGATCGCAAGAGCATACGAACCGAAAATTGAGCATGCCAATAAGGAAGAGGAAACTATTCAAATAAGAACTATTGAGCAAAAAAGATTGAAGGATATATTGGAAAAATTAAAGTTAGAGAATCCCAGATACTTATTCTTGAGTTCATTGACGTGTTTAAAGCACTAGTAGACAAACTAAGTTGTACAACATAGATTGTGCATAGAATTATTACGGACGATATAGCCAATCATGAAGAGACCTTATAGAGTACTTACTGTATCGTCTACAGCAGGTTATGAAGCAAGAAATCCAGAAATTACCTGATGACGGAGTTATCGTGGAAACTGAGTCACCATGGAGTTTTCCTGCAATACTTAGAAAAAGAGAGACACCCTGAAGAGGACATCCAGTAATGATAATTATGATAATGATAATGATAATTATTACCAATTTTTGAGAATGGCAATCGGTTTAAAGAAGGCACCAGCTACTTGGAGCCGTATGATGAATCACATTCTAGGAAAATTGACGTATATACCGAGTGTCTTGTATATCTAGACAACATAATTGTATTTTGCAAAGACGACAAGAGACAATTTCTTATACATTCCTACAATTTTCCATAAATTCCTTCAAATACCCCACAAATTCCTCCAAATTCTTCACAAATTCCTTACAGTTTTGGCAAAAAATTCCTAGGTGGTTTCCCCCTTATCTACAAGTCTATGGTAATATTCAAGTTGAGGAAATTGTGCCCAAGCTCACACTGATGACTAGAAAACTCTCAAATGAATGAAATTTTACCGCGGATAAGACTCGGTGATAATTATAATAATAATAGAATGGCAAGGTCTTTCAACCAAACTTTCAAAAAACGACAAATTACCGAATATTTGAACCAAATCCATTAAAATCAAAAAGGTGTTCCAAACAAGTTTTCAGAAAAGATAAAAATATGTGGTCTTCTTTCTTTTTTTGAAAAATAACTAAATATGGGAAAACCAAACTACTTTTTTCACACATAATTCTAACTTTTACTCTCTTCAAATTCTTCAAACGCTAATCAGGTGAAAACTCGTTATGAAATAATTAGATACCTTATGCTAACCAGGATGCACTTTAATTTATTAGTGGGTACTCATTGGCAATTGGGTACAAACTAGCGAAATTTAATTATTAGCAAATGATTGAGGCAATAATAATTTTTACTCTCACTTGTATTTTTAGCAACAATTAGTAAACTCCAACGGATACCCTTTCGAAAAACACCAAGTTACCTCTGAAGACGGATACATTCTCACCTTACACAGAATACCGAGGAGCAAACACGAAACTAGCCCTTTTAAAACAAAACGACCAGTGGCCTTGTTTCAGCATGGCTTATTGGCTTCCTCCGATGTATTTTTATTCAGAGGACCTAATCATGACTTACGTAATAATTGTAAATTGTTTTATCTAAAAAAAGTAGCTTAATTATTTTGGTTTTTAGCTTATTTGCTTGCCGACTCCGGTTACGATGTGTGGCTTTCGAACATGAGAGGAAACATGTATTCTCAAAAACACCAAAGCTTGGATGCTGAAAAAGATCCTGAATATTGGAAGTTTTCGTAAAGGAGTAATTTGTTGGTAATCGTGTTCGTTTTAAAACAATTCTTTTTAGCTTACACGAAGTTGGGTATTATGATTTGCCAGCAACAATAGATTACATTTTAAACAAAACCAATGAAAAATCGCTGTATTTTTTGGGACACTCAGTAGGATCTACAGCTGCTTTTATTACAGGTTCACTTAGGCCAGAGTATAACTCAAAAATTCGGCTACATTTGGCTTTGGCTCCTCTTGTCTACGTTTTACACGAAATGTCGTTTCCTCATAAGATATTTTTAGGGTCTTCCATATCTTTAACAGTAAGTTATTACCTATGTGATTTTTTTCTTTCATGCAGAAATTCTTTTTAAGCAAAACATTGTAGCACGTAACATCCTCAATGTATTTCCCAGAAGAAGTTACTTTTCCAAATTCTTAGGAGCTCTGTGTGCCAACGGAGCCCCAACTCAATTTCTATGCTTAATATTCATGTACTCACTAGTAGGAATCGACGGGCAGCAATTCAACAGCGTAAGTATGTATATTTTGACATTTTCCCGATAAAATAATAAAATCTTTGCTTATTCCAGAGTTACATACCAGAATTCCTGTCCTATTTTCCGGCAGGAAGTTCCGTCTATCTGACCTCGCACGCTATGCAAATTTACGCAGAAGGTTAATAATCAATGATTGTGGAGTTTTTTTGTTGAATTTTCCTTTTAGGTGATTTTCGTCCTTTGGATTACCAAAATCCGTTTACCAATTTGCAAAAGTACCGACAAGTTGCGGTACCAACTTATAATATCAGTTTGATCAGTCATCCTGTGTCTTTACATTTTGGAGATGGGGATACTCTGGTAACTGAAGAAGTAATTGACTTGAGATGAAGATTTTTCATATTGATAATATGTTAATTATTTTAGGATTTAGCCTTTACTGAAAGTAAACTGCCAAACGCTGTTGGAAGTTACCGAGTGCCTTTTGAAAATTTCAACCATATGGACTTCATGGTGGGGTCGGATGCCAAAGATTTAGTTTATAATGAATTGATTTTGTTGATGAATAAACACAGATAGCATTTACTTCTTTATATTTGTTTCTACCTATAAACAACTTGTCCGCTCCTTCATTATATAATTTTTAGGCGTGGTTTACACGGGATAACCCTTTCCCGAGGGTTAAATTGAAGTAAACAACTCGAATTTGCAAGATGGGACCAAGAAAATCTTAAAAGATATATTTTTGTGTTTTCATTATTCCAATATTCCCCAAAGTCTGGGTGGTCAGAGCCGTACTATGACTTAATTAAAATGTTTTTACCTGCATAAAATTCAAATATTTAATTGATTTTCTAATAAAACATTTAGGTATTTATAATTTTTGGTTCTGTGTTGTGTTTTAAGCGGGAGAATTCACACAATAATTAATGGGTTTTCTAATTGAATTATTTAAATTATAGGCAATTTCCTAATATTATGTGAATGTTTGATAGAAAAATCATTGTTTTTCTATTATAGGCTCTAGTGTTTCAAAACGGTATTTAGCTGGAATCGCTAGGGTTTACGGTTTTTGAGAAAATCGAATTTGAGGATTTAGATAAAATGTCGACTAAATTTCAACTTTCAAACTCAAGATCTTGGAAACCTCAAAAGCTACGAAATCCAATTTTGCTCAGCCTCATAGAGAATTTAATGCTCTCATTTCGATTTCGACAAAGTTTCGGTGATAATTCACCCAAAAAGTACAGAAAACCGGTCAGTGGCGTATCTACCGGTGTGCCATGTGTGCGAAGCACACAGGCCCGGGCCCGAGAGGGGCCCGTGAGCTCCATAGCGAAACTGCACAAAAAAACGTAAAAAAATCGAGATTACACCAAGAAAAAAAAAGTAGCTACAGAAACTTCAACATACTAAAACAGGAGATCTTTCCAAGACCCAAAATAGGAATAGACCTATCTATTTTACCAGACAAAGAGGCAATAATACGGAAACTTCATTAGATAAAAAAAGACACAGAACGCTCATTGCGCAAGACGAGGCAAAACGTACCAAATTATGTTAGACTTACGTATAGCAATCCTTTCTTCTTATTTGCACGGGATAAAAGGGGAAGGAGAAATACTGCATGTTGTGCAACGTATTTGTCAATGAAAATGTCAAACAATTTTTACATGTCACTTTTCAAGTTATGTCAAGTTAAATATTAACCGTACTTTTCTTCTTGTCAGACCACGGGCAATGAACAAGGACAAGCATATGTCCAGCGTGTAAAACGAACACCTCTCACCTGTACTAGTTAGCCAATAGAAAGGCATTGCCTCGACAAAAGTGACATAATCTCAGACAGAAGTGTCGTAACAATATGGCGGAAGTGGGATACGCTTTTTTCTCCTTATGTCGCCTTCTTATTATTCTACCTCAATGATTTTTCCTTAATTTTGCCTAAATAAGTCAATTTTCTTTGAATTTTTCCTGGAGTGATTTTTCACTGGAAAATTTCGAAATTTCCCTATAATGAGCTCCTCACTTTTCTCTTTATCCTGGAAAATTTTCAAAATTTTTCCTTTAGCAATTTTCCAAAAAAAAATTTAAATGTGAAAGGATGAATTTTGCTTAGAAAAGTCAATTTTCCAGAACTTTCCTATCGACTTTCCTTAGAGTGATTTTTCACTAGAAAATTTTGAATATTTCCCATAAAGAACTCCTCATTTTCTTCTTTCTTCTGGAAAAATTTCACAAGTTTTGCTTTATTAATTTTCCAGAAATAAATTAAAATGTAAGAAGTGAATTTTCCTTAATTTTGCTTAAATAAGTCAATTTTCCAGAATTTTTTATGGAGTGATTTTTCATTTGAAAATTTTAAAATTTTTGCAATAATTTCTGTAATTTTCATAGTTTTTCGTAATGTCCATAATTCTCGTAATTTTTCATAATTTCCATTTTTCGTAAATTCTGTAATTTTCTGTAATATTGATAAAATTTCCGTAATTTACAAATAATTCCTGTAATTTTGAATAACTTTGAGTAATTCCTGCTCGACACTCTGCCGCAGATACGCCAAAAGTTGAGCAAAGTTTAACTTTTCGCGTAAAATTCCAGCGTTTTTACAGGTTAAGGTTGCAACCGGTTCGTTTTCTTGATTTTTGTAATTTACTGTCCATATTTATAACTATTTGGAACTAAAGCCAAAACAAATACAAATTTGTACAATCAAAATTCAAAGAAATATTTTAAAATTTAGGAAAAAAATATAATTTTGACATACGCGGCGGCGTAAATTCTCCATTCTATGTGAATGTTGCGCCAAAATTCACGTATTCAGTATTTGCGCCAGTTATGTCAAGTTTACGCTCATGCGGCTTCTCATGACGATGAAATTGACAAAAATCACAAACCACACCGTCTAAAGGTGATTTCGATTGGACTTTCACATCTAGTGCGCATTTTTTTTGACAGCTGACAGATAAACAAAGCTTTATTAAAGGTCAACTGTCAAAAAAAGTGCACAACGAGCAGACCCAGAGCGTACGACGCCACCTACCGGGAACGCAAGGAGAATACACACTCTAAGGAGTGCTTATCGGCCTCGTTTTTCGTAATCGCCGCCATGTTGGTTTTCAACTGTTTTCAACCATTGCCGACGTCATAACTAAATCGTCAACTGTTTAGGGCGGGTATTATAAAACTGCTTTGACAGTTAACTTGGAAGTTAACTTTTTGAATTACATGTAATTCGAGAAGTTAACTTTAAGTTAACTCTCAAAGTAGTTTTATAATACCCGCCCTTAAACAACCTACGTCAAGACTGCCGAGAAACGTCAATGCTGCTTACACACAACTGGTTGTTTGGCTAGGGGAGGATTTGTTACACACAGGCCTTATGAGGATAAGCCATCCTGTAGTAGTAGGGTGTATCATCCTTGCCGGGAACGTCCAATAGGACAATCCAAACAATATGGCGGCCTAGGTCGAACAGTGAAATTGGCACCACTAGGATTTCATTCACCTCCAGATAACCGTGACGTTTTCTTATTAAACTGTTTTTTTGTATTTGGCGGTGTTTTAATTTTATGATTAATTTCTATCGCTTGAGAACGATAAATTTTGTATTTTAAGATGAAGAGTCCGTATCTTAAAAAGTTATTGATGCAAAATTCAGAAGTTGGCAGGACTGATATGCTAACATCCATCCAACATCCAACAGTTTAGTAGTAGGGATGTCCAAAAATAACCGGGTATTTGAATAACCGCGGTATATTCACTTCACTTTAATCGGTTATAACCGGTTATTTCACTAGCAGTAAATAACCGGTTATTCAGTCATAAACGTCATAACCAGAAGCAGGTTATTTTTTGAACGTGTTGACAACTGTCAAGTTAAAATCGTCAAAATGCAACGATCATAGGTTGTCTATGGGTAACTTGATGATGCATCTGGGGTGCCTTATGGAGATTTGCATTATTTTGAGGCACCCCAGCTGTCATCATAAAGTTATCAGTTACCTCTTTCAAATAACCTTGGTCAAAATGAAGCTCTATCTCTGTCGCATCATATAGTATCAAGTTTTATGCACTTATTTTCTATATACAAGGATTTTTTAAATTTTATTAACCTTAGCACATTTACCATAAAATCAGTAATTTCAAAAAATCGGTTAACCGGATAACCAGTTTATTTTACTTCGGTTAATCGGACCGGTGATTTTTTAGTAAAATATAATCGGTTAACCGAAAAAAGGTTATTTTTCGCCGGTTGAACATCCCTGTTTAGTAGTTCATAAATAAACATGCGTCACAGATGATAGATGCTTGACCTCTATGCGGCCGGCGCTATATTGAATTTATTTTTTGACAGGTCGTTGGATTGCCTTAGCCTTAGCAATGTACATACTATAAAATTTTAAATATCGGCAGCCTTATTCTGTAACTTACAAACGCAGAGAATTGCGCAATTGGCGATTTCGACTACCGATGGGGGCGCTGGTGTTTGTAAACAAATATGGCGGAGAACGAGTAATATTTTATCGTTCAGCATTGTATTTATATGCATTCGTATTTCTTCCGCTAATTTTCTCGTTATTCTCGTAGTTTTTTCGCTGGTTTTCTTTAAACTGAAATTTGTGATAGCCCCCTGGCGTTTGTAAACAAATATGGCGGAGAACAAGTAATATTTTGACGTTCAGCATTGTATTTATAGGCATTCGTATTTCTTCCGCTAATTTTCTCGTAGTTTTTTTCAGTGGTTTTTTACTATATTTTATAAATTTTGAACGTTTGTGACTTTTTTTTGTGCATTTCGTATCCATACAACATAGAATATGGAAAATGGAGGCCTGTATTTGAGTTTGGCCTAGGATTGCCAGACGCCCCGATTTAGGCGAGATTACCACGCTTTTCCACTTCCTGCCACGCGCCACGCCAAAGTACCCTAATGCCCCGCTTTTCAAATTCAAAGGAAAACAGTGAAAACACAAGAATAGAGCTTTTCAGAAAACGCCTGATAATGGTTAAACCCGACAACGCTGTGCCACAGGGTTCATACATTTTTTATCATAAAATGATAGTTGTATTAAATAGGCAATCTACTGACCTGTCAAAAACGAAATTCAATATGGAAGTTCGGGTCAAGCCAATGAATACCAGCGATTTGCATCGTAATTGGGTGTGGAAGTCGAGGTAACAGGGATAATGTGAAATTTTATTAAGTTCCTGCTATTTTAAATAATTGGCTTTTCATCTACAAATATGAATTATCAAAACAACGCAGGGCTTTATGGATTGCTGCAACTGAAAGCTCGATTTTCCCTTAATAATAATACTTTAAGATATTCACTCTCCATTTCAGAATTTTAATAAATTAAAAAATACCTACGTAGAAACACTATAAAATTCACTTTGAAAACAACAAGGGCCGGAACACTAAAAAATACGTAGAAATTACTAAAGACTATAAAATTCACAATTCCCTATGAAAACAACAATGACCAAAACCAATGAAAAATACGTAGAAACACATAAAATTCACTTCGAAAGCAGTAATAAGGGCCAGAACACAAGTGCTTTCCTTATGAACGTCAAATGTCAACGGCTTGTCACCGCAATATTTGACATTTGACCCGAACGGCCATTAGAAAATCACGTGATTGAGATTGCCTAGCCAACATAATGTCAATTTGACTTTTATTTTCAATTTTGAGAGAGACTTTAAATACAGGGTGTCCAAAATTCGAGGGTGACCATTGAGATATCGGAAACTATAAGAGATGCGAGGTCGGTTAAATTATGGTAAAATTGCGCAATTTTATGACCAATAAAATGCCGTTTTGAAATTTGAAAAATTCAGAATACTTCCGAAGACATTCGGAAAAAACCGAAATTTTGCAAAATCATTTCTATTTTTTCCCGAGTCTATTTGAAGAGCAATTTTAAAATAAATGTCACTTCATTATTGTCACTTCTTCCCCTTTACAAGATATTGCTATCAAATTTCAAATTCGACGTTTATTCGTCTTTGGGCCACCATCATCAACTTTATTTTTTTAAATACGGACCTGGATTTTTAATTTCGGATTTGAAGAGCTTCTGATATCACAAAACCTATGACGTATCGCATTTATTCGAAAAAAAATTTATTTTACTTTTTGGTTATTTCCTACCAAAATTCTCCTGCTGTCTCTCTCTAACACATCAAGTTCTTATGGAAAGTGCCAATAATATAAATTTTTCGAATAAGAGCAATACGTCATTGATTTGAGAACATCAGAAGCTTTTAGAATCCGAAATAAAAAATCCAGGTTCCTATTTAAAAAAATGAAGTTGATGATGGTGGCCCAAAGACGAAACGTCGAATCTGAAATTTGGTAGCAATATCTTGTGAAGGGGAAAAAGTGACAACGATGAAGTGACATTTATTTTAAAATTGCTCTTCAAATAAACTCAGGAAAAAATGAAAATGATTTTGTAAAATTTCGGTTTTTTTTCCGAATATCTTCGGAAGTATTCGGAAATCGGAATTTTTCAAATTTCAAAACGGCATTTTATTGGTCATAAAGTTGCACAACTTTGCCATAATTAAACCGAACTCGTATCTCTTATAGTTTCCAATATCTCGATGGTCCCTCTCGAATTCGGGACACCCTGTACATTCTCATTTACGGATATAAAAGATTTACCCCCAGAAGGTGACCAAACTCCTTGTGCGTGGGATATAACTACCTAAACAAAATTCCCCCCCATCCCCCGTCGTTGCCACGCTTTTCCCTCTCGTAAGTCTGGCAACCCTAGTTTAGCCACAGTTTTATCTTACCTGCCAGCTGGCGTAGAAAGCAGGATCACTATTTTTCTTAGGAAAATAAAGAAAGTGAATACTTCTGTCTGCACCTTTTCGGGAATGGCATTTGTATACACAGCAGGACAGCAGTTTGTGTTATGCTTGGACTTTGAGGCAGATGCCATTGAATTCCTGTAATAATGGCACCTCACAGAATCAGAATAAAAACTTTCCCTTTATTATTTCCCACTTATCTACACAAAACACATAATTTAAATTAGGAACGAACAGAAAACATCGAAAAAGCAAGAAAATATTCCAATACGGTATCTAAACAAACGATCTATTACTCGTTAAGTTAGTTCCAAATATTTCCGCCAGGGGCCGCATCGAATTTTGAAATCGCCAATTGTCGCTGTCAAGTGGCTGTCAAACGCGAGTATTCTATTCAAAAAAAGCAACTTGCGACGGGTTGCTGTTTGCTATGTATTTGTTGTTCGTAGAGAATAGGCCTGCGGCGAACTGTAAAACCGCCTTATTACAAATTAAGGTCTGACCTGACTGTTATTTGCGATTATAGTATTGAATCAAATTATAATATACCAAATTTGAACCATTATAAAATAGTTTCAATTACGTCTATTATACGACCAGAATAGATAGCCATACTGACTTTAGTTGTCCTAAAATAATGCTATCTGACCATGTTCGTCATGTTTTTTATTAAATAAACAATGGATTGACAAATTTTCAGCTTTCATGAAACTCTTTTATTGCGATTAATTTTCAACACATTCAACGGTGCGTGGGCGTAGCTTATCCCGTTATACCTCACTTGCTGACTCGAGTATAGTTATACATCATAAATACAAGCTTATATTAAGTTTTCAGCCTTCAACAAACTCTTGCACTTTTTTGGCGCTGGCTCTCCAACTATAAATCATATGGATAGTAGATAATGACTCTTAAAAACTGTTCCAATTAAAATCAAAACATGAACAAAACACATTTATTTAATTATTGTGTATACAAATCATGAACATAATTTTTTATTGCTAACATCAAACATACAGTATTCATATTACATTTCTTGTTTTTTTTTTTTGAAGTAGGTAATAAAATAATACATTAAGGTTAAAATGCTTTAATACACCCCCGTAGTCGCTTAATCCTAGAATCGCTCCATTAAAAAAAAGAAAAACGATTTTTTAAATCTTATATACATATTATAAGTTTGATTTATGTATTTATTTTTTTTTTGGACAGATTTGCAGTATTATATTACAATTGCTGGAGGGAATGTTTTATGGGCACCGTATATGCGTCTGTAATAACAATTTTTTTACATTATAATTAGTTTTGCTTCAAGAATCTTTCTTCAAATTAATTTTTCTTTCCATTGAGCTTTTTAGTGAGCAAATTTTTCCCAAAAAAAAACAAATTGTTTCACATCATTTTCATAAAATGTCAAAGATTATTGTTGAAATCATACATAGATTATCAATTCTCAAAGCAAAAAACATAATATGGTGCCCAAAAAGTGCGCCAATTAAACTGGCTTAACAAATTGCTGGTATGGATGTGCTGTAAGCTGAAGCAAAACATTTCAAACGTGCTTAAACTTACAAAAAGACCAGCTTTGATTGACTTATGGTTTTTCATTATTTTTATTTTTATTTTTTTTAATTAACTGTAAAAATCCTTAACCGTCTAAAGTTTAAAAATAATAGTTTATTATTAATTATTATTTATAGGCTATTCCTTTAATGAGCCTCATGAATAGTCAAAGCATGGTAATAATTGCTACGTCAAAAATGTATAACAAGTCTACTGTATTAGAAAATCATACAATTATTATAACTAATTAAGTACACTAGCTGCCTATATTTAAAATAAAATCAACAACATATTGCACAAAAAATAATTAGTTAGTAGATTAAAACATGAACTAGTAGTTAATAACAATATTAAATGCTCATTTTAATACTATTTCCTATAAAAGCCTTTTCTTTTACGCCTCCTGTAAGTCTTTTTCCATCAATATCTCTGTTGAAACTCGTGGTGCCACCTATTGAAATCGATGTGGAATACTACTATGGAACCTAATGCCAAACCGGCTAGTAAAAATCTAAAACAGAATAGATTTGGAATTAAGTGATGGTAAACAATGGTAAGGGGTACTTACTTCTGATCATGGGACAATGCAAGTGACCTAATGCTACTATCACAAGCTGGGAATGCGTAAAGAAGTGCCAGATTAAAAGTGCGCCACACTTCGACGATGCCTTTGTCGCCTCCGGTCATCAAGTATTCACCGTCACGACTCAGAAGGAGACACTGGAATAAAATCATGTGTGATTAGAAAAAAGAGAAATTCTTTTCTTATGTTTGCTATAAGGTACAGGGTTATTCACTATATTTTGACCCCCCACCTGGATAGGTAATTACAGGTGCTACAAAAAAAAGTTTAATACAAAAACTGTTTGATTTAAAACGAAAAGTTCAAATTTGATATAATTATTTATACAGGGTGTCCCAGAGACGGTCTACAGCTCTCAACTTGAAATTTATAAATGGGACACCCTGTATTTTATTTGATTTTTAAATTCTAAGACCAATCTATATAAGATAGAACTGTTTTCGAGATAAAGGCGGTTGGATATAAGTCTATCCAAAACATATGATTTTTGTATAAAGGCGATGCAGATAGTCGGGACGATAAGTTGCGACTAGAGGTTGAGAATCCCGCCCCTGATAACTTTTATGACGTCATATCACTCATATCTATGCCTAAACATAATGCAAATGCAAGGTTCCTAAAGTTAACAGGTTGTCTAATAACAAGGTTGTTTGAGAGGGGTAGGTTGCCTGATAGCTTTATGACGTCATCTGTATACCTCGAACATAATGCAAATCTCCATAAGGCACCCCAGATGCGTTACCCATTACCAGGCAACATTAACTTTAGGAACCTTCAACCATTAAGTTACCCATTACCAGGCAACATTAAATTTTGGAACCTTCAACCTTGGTATCTGGTAATGGGTAACTTGGTGTCGCATCTGGGGTGCCTTATGGAGATTTGTATTACGTTTAGGCATACAGATGACATCATAAGAGTTATCAAGCAGTCAAACAACCTTGATATCAATCACTTGATGGCGTCATCTGTTTGTCATTACCAGACAACCTATTACAATTAATATTTTGTTAAATATATCGGCAATGTCGACGGAATTTATTCTAGGGGGAGTTGCGATTGAATCCCAATCGCGCTATATCTTTTTCCCGCACTGCTGACTGTTTTTTTCTCTCGCTTGGCTGAACTCGACTCAAGCTGGTTTCAAAATATTTAAAATAAGACACCATGAAGCAACTAGGCTGCAGTTTCTATATCATTGACAGACACTGTTATGTCGTTTCCCTAAAAATTGAGTGATATTTGATATTGCTAGGATTCTTTCATTATTGCAACTTCAGCGTGCAGCAAACAGTAGGCATCTGGCTGAGCCCAAGGACTATTTTGGCAACTTGACGATTCCCGCCTATTTTCTGTTTAATTTGATAGAGGAGGGGTTAATAACCCTACTTTCGAGGTGGGTAAATACTGGTTATAGAAATGTCAAATGATGACGTTGCAAAGGGCTTGTTAGTGACGTCATTAAATATAACCACATTTAACCAAAAGCGCATTAACTTGAAAAGTAACAAAATGGAGGTCAGTATGAACTGACATGTTTTGATTGTTAATTTGAACCAATCAGATTGGAATTACGCGATAATTTGCACTATAATCTGTCCAACGAACCTACGGAGTATGACAGGGCCCTCGTTTGTACAATCGCATATAAAAATATGCTATAAAAATAGTCGGTACGTTTTTGTTTTCCAGAATGTCCACCGAAGTCTGGCAACGCGGGAACTCGGAATCGTTGTAACCACTATCTCGCAACGGCCCTTGACAAATTTGCACTCATGCGTTTTTAACTGAAAAATGCTTTTTTTCAACTAAAAATCAATTTGGGCCTATCTAATCTAAATGCCTTTATCTCAAAAATGGTAAAAGATAAGATAGTTCTATCTTTTATAGATTTGTCTTAGAATTTAACGTATAATTAAAAAATCAAATAAATTACAGGATGTCCCATTTATAAATTTCAAGTTGAGAGCTGTGGACCGCTTCTGGGACACCCTGTATAAATAATTATACCAAATTTGAATTTTTTGTTTTAAATCAAACAACTTTTGTATTGAACTTTTTTTTGTAGCACCTGTATTTACCCCTCCAGGTGGGCGATCAAAATATAGTAAATATCCTGTACTTAAGTAGTATAGTTGAGAAGGATCTGAGACACTTGATGTTGATTTGTGAATGAATGTGAGAGAGAGGAATATAGATTGGGATCAGACTCCATCTACTTCGTCTCTTTCAACCTTCACTACTACAGCTTACATTTATCTATCCACTGGTGCCAAATTGTTCAAGTACTACGTGCACTCATGCTCTTTTTCAACTAAAAATGCATTCGGGCAAATTCCCCAAAAATTATCGATAATTTCCATTGCACTCATTATATTACTATCCCGATTACTATTGATAATTTTTATTTTTTTTCACAAAATCTAAATGCCTTTATCTCGAAACGGTAAAAGATAAGATAGAAATGTCTCATATAGATTTATTTTGGAATTTAACGTAGAATGTAAAAATCAAATAAAATACAGAGTGTCTCATTTATACATTTTTGTTTTAAATCAAACAACTTTTGTATTAAACTTTTTTTTGTAGCACCTGTAATTACCCCTCCAGGTGGAGGATCAAAATATAGTGAATAACTCTGTACAATGTTCTTTTTTGGTACTTTTACAAATTGAAAAATATGTAATTTTCTATGTTACTCCATGATCAAAAACCACCCACTGACAATGTTCATGATTAAAGTTTTTGAGAAAATTCTGATTTATACGTTTTGGACAAAATTTTAACTAAAATCCAACTTTCAAGCTTGATAACACAGAGACTGTGTGAGCTACTATTAGAATTATTATATAAATCTGTTTCTATTTTAATCTAAAGTTCATTTCACGGAACCAGATAGTGAAAGTAAACAAACTTTGACAGGTAAGTCGAATTTTATTGGCTAGAAAAGGATTATACTCCGCCTTAGACAGGACCGTCTTAGGTTTTTTTTTGTATTTCTCTTCTCTGAATATATTTCCGAACGTATTCCTCAGCGGAATCTGTTGAACTTGATATTGTTTAAATCTAAATTGCTCACTAATTAACAATAAATCACCAAACACTATTTAAATAATTGTAAAATACTAAGAAATATGACATGAAACTTATTGATTCATATGACAACCTGACAATAATAAATGTCATTAGCTGTATTCATATAGGTTTTTTACGTTATATTTAGGATGACGTCAGAGAACAAGGATTGACAATGTTGTCAATGCCTATTTGTTTTCTTATAATCTACCAGAATGTCATAATGAATTATCAAGACCACTGACAGCTAAAAATAAGCAAAATGAATCGAAACGCGTTATTTATTTGAAAATGTTCATTTAAATCATGCAACATCGGGCGCCGTTGCCAACCAGGAAACATCTGAAATTCCCCTACTTTAAATGCGTTAAGAAGTACATTTAGTTTTGTTAGATTTGCAGCAGAAATTTACTAAATGTGACGTCATCCCAAATATATCGTGAAAATCCTATATTTTTGCAGTCCTTCTCTGAATTTTTAAGCTCCGCCTGTTTGTTTACCTCTACTATCTCGTTTCGTGGAATGAATTTTAGTAATATTTCTATAGTTATAGTTTAGGTAGCTATTTAGTAGTTTCATGGTTAGTGTAATTAGAACTTAAAGGATAGGTAGGTACTTGACAAATTGTGATTTTTGGTGGTACTACTGTTGTCTAGTTCTGTTATTGCTATGGTTATTGTATTGCTGTCATTGTTATTAAAAGCTGTCAACGTACGGTCTAAAGGACCCTGCCCACGCCTTTCTGATTAAAAGTTACCATTGCACCAATCCTGAAAAATTACTATACATAGCACACCACTGCACCACAAACTATTTGTGTTACATTGTATATACTTGAACAATAACTTATTATATAAAGTCAGAATTATTTATAAGATTATCCACTTTTTGTCAATTTGCCAAGAATTAGTAATGTTACTATACCAAAATAGTAATATAATGTGACAAGTTATTCAAGTACAAACGAGTGGATTGTTGCGGAATTTATGGGTGAAACTCGCTGCGTTCGTTCCGCAGTCATCTATTCATTAATACGTTGTTCAAGTACGGTACTAACCTGACTCACTCAAATGTCAGTTATTCTCATTAGTTCAAAAACTACAAGTTTCAGGTGAGTGTCTTATTTGAATAGTTCAACAGAAATTGGTGATTAGATGGCTGCGGAACTCGCTGCGCTCGTCCCGCAGAGGTCCACCCATAAGTTCCGCAACAATCCACTTATTTGTACTTGATCAATAACTTATTATAAAAAGTCAAAATTTGTAAGATTATGATTATTCACTTTTTGTTAATTTGTCTTTCAACAGGAATTAGTAATGTTACTTTACCAAACTAGTAACATAATGTGACAAGTTATTCAAGTACAAATGAGTCAATTGTTGCGGAACTTATGGGTGGACCTCTGCGGGACGAGCGCAGCGAGTTCCGCAGCCATCTATTCATCAATATGTTGTTTAATCACAATCCTAAACTGACTCACTCAAATGTGCGTTATTCTCATTAGTTTAAAAATTACAGGTTTCAGGTGAATGTCTTACTTGAACAGTTCAACAGAAATTGGTGATTAGATGGCTGCGGAACTCGCTGCGCTCGTCCCGCAGAGGTCCACCCATAAGTTCCGCAACAATCCACTTATTTGTACTTGATCAATAACTTATTATATAAAGTCAAAATTTGTAAGATTATGATTATTCACTTTTTTTTAATTTGTCTTTCAACAGGAATTAATAATGTTACTTTACCAAACTAGTAATATAATGCGACAAGTTATTTAAGTACAAATTAGTCAATTGTTGCGGAACTTATGGGTGGACCTCTGCGGGACGAGCGCAGCGAGTTCCGCAGCCATCTATTTATTAATATATTGTTTAATTACGATCCTAAACTGACTCACTCAAATGTGGATTATTCTCATTAGTTTAAAAATTACAGATTTCAGGTAAATGTCTTACTTGAACAGTTCAACAGAATATTGGTGATTAGATGGCTGCGGAACTCGCTGCGCTCGTCCCGCAGAGGTTCACCTATAAGTTCCGCAATAATCCACTTATTTGTATATACGTTTATTACAATGTCCAAGCGCTTCACTCGCTACCTATGAAATTAATTTTCTCAAAAAGGAATCATTTTTTAGGATTGATGCAATGGAAACTTTTAATCAGGAAGGCGTGATCTCCATTATATACAAAATTCGGCCAATTCTGACATAAACACAATTTCCGTATACTTTGGGCAGGGTCCTTTCTATTTAATTTTCACATTAAATAATTAAAAATCGAGTGTGGCCTTCCATAAAAAATTCACAAGTTATGAGCCTAGTGCGTTGGTATCTGTACTCGACGTGAAATTAAATCTCTCAAAAATGGCTGACTCATCCTCTAATATAGGTATTGGGTTTTGAGAGATTAGCTGGTAGAGAAAATTTCAACGATTGGAAATTTGGAATGAAATTGGCCCTTATTCACGAAAATCTCTGGCGTTGTATAGATGGGTATCCTACAGGAGACACGGCCACAACTGCAGAAAAAGACAGGTTGGACCAAAAGGCTCTTGCAAAAATTTGTCTAATGATAAAGCCTGCAGCATATCATCCGTACACCAGGACAGCAAAAACGGCAAAAATAGCCTGGTATAATCTAGTTGCAGCCTATGAAAATAAAGGGTTATCTAAGAGGTTAAGTTTATTAATACGTCATGGAAGATTTTCAGACAATGGAAGCTTATGTTAATAAAATTATGTCTTTTGTCCAGAAGTTGTCAGATATGGAACATCCAGTTGATGATGAACTCTTAGGCATTATTATGCTCAGTGGGTTGACCTCAGAGTATGATCCCATGGTAATGGCCATAGAGAATTCAGTGAAACATACCTATAACAAGTGACTTTGTGAAAGCAAAGCTTCTTCAAGATGATAAGTATGGCAAAAAATTTAAAGAAACAGCATTTTTATCAGAGAAAAAGGTAACAAAGAAAGGCGTAAAGTAATACATCAGTTTTACTGACGGTGACAACAAATTTTAAAAAATTCGGTAAAGTTTACGGTCCTGGAAGTTTACAACCCTTTCCTGGCCAAGAATACTATTTAGATTTAGCCAGCGGCTATTATCAGATTCCAATCAAAGAGTTGTCAATTCCCATCACGTCTAATAGCCATTACGAATATTTGCGTTTCCCTTTTGGATTGTGTAATGCTCCCGCGATTTTTCAAAGTATTAGGAAATCTTCGATACGGAAATAGTAATGTGATAGCTAATATGGATGATGTGCTTCTGCTCCAAAAAAATTTTGAGTCTGGTTTAGTCATGTTGCAAACAGTGTTTGAATCCATTAGAGCAGCTAGTTTAACTTTAAGATTATCCCAGTATCAGTTCTTTATGGAGAGAGTGGAATATCTTGGTCACGAGATTTGCAGATCCGGTGATCAACCGGGAAAAAGAAAATCTGAAGCTATTACAGATCAATGCATCAAAATGGGGTATTGGTGATTGGTGGCATAATTTTGCAACAGCAAGCTGATAACACATTGACCTGTCATGTACTTTTCTCGCCAAACCACCAAAGAAGAACAGAGATGCCACTCTTACGAACTTGAAACCATAGCTGTGGTGGATGTACTTAACCATTTTCAAGTATATCTTATTGGAATTAAATTCAAGGTTGTCACAGATTGTAATGCGGTCAGAACTATGCTCTGTAAAAGAGATTTGATACCTCGTATTAGAAGATGGTGGCTCTCAATCCAAGAATTCACATTCAATATTGCAGGACTATTTATGTATTATGTCTTATTTAAAGTCTGTTTTTTTTTTAAAGATAATTCCCCAACTCAAAAATTTAGTAACTATGTTGGCAACACAAGCCATTTCTACATAAAAAATTTGAAAACATTGACAATTTTACATTATATTGCCAACATAATGTCAATTTGACTTTTATCTTAAAAAAAAACACACATTTTATGTCTTATATGAGATACTATTGGCAACCTTGCAGTAGTTGGCATTGTTTCTAGTTTTGGTGTCCTATTTGTGGCAACATTGTTTTGACTTTTCTGACTTCGATGACTTTTAAGTTAGGTTAAGATTTTGCGCGGGATTGGCAGAGGAAAGGCCATGTGGTGCAAGGACAAGGTTTTGATTAAAAACTCTTTTGTATTTATGTACTCTTTATGTATCTTATGGAAAATATACTTAAGTGAATATAAACTGGATTACTTCGGGAGTGTTTATTTATTTTATTTTCTGCTGCCTGTTCCCACTGGTTCCCACAATATTGAATACCGAACTGGTCTTAAAATAGCACATGCAGGGGGGCTTAATGTGAAATTAATGTAAGATATAACTTTGCGTACACGCAAATGACGTCATTCGTCATTAAAAATTGGTGCACGATTTATTTGACATGAGCCGCTTTCGGGTGCAAAGTGTGAAGCTCCTAGAACGCTTCACACCTGTCAATGACTTGTCATACTCCATGCATTTTGCATGAACGGGTCAAACTGTAGTCCGAGTACTTTGGAGTAACTCGGCAGCGCTTAAAGGGTGGCACCGCAAAAACAACTGAACCAAATATCAACATACATATTATATGGTATATTTAGAATCAGAAGAAAAAAACTATCATTCTAGCCAAAAATATACAGGGTGTTCCATTTGAAAAATGTAAGTGTTTGTCATTGTGACAGTTGGCACCTGTCATTTGCCTATTTTGACATTTGCAAAAGATAATAGACATAAAACCCTACAACTTCCATATTTAAAGTTTTTTTCTTCGCGTATAGCTAAATCTGTAGGTAGAGGTCAAAATACCTATAAGGAAACACACTGTACATGCTATTTGAAGTTTTAATAGTTTAATATTATTTTTTCAAGAAGCAGAAACTTTTATAGAGAATAACTTTTTTGCGTAAAATTGATAAAAAAGTTTCCGAATCTAAGTACACTGTATATTACTTCATAGTTGAAAAGAGTCGAATTTTCTGTTTACAGATATACAGGGTGTCCCACTATATAAGGTCGGCCAGGTACGATATTATGGAAACCATAGACCTTACGGCTTCGGGATTTTTTTTTTCTTGACTAAATCGGCCAAGAGAAATTGCTGGAAATTATTTTCAAGTTTCTAGGATGACCGCTAGGGGGCGCAATTACGATGATATAGCTAAAAATTCAACTTTTCTCAAGAAATCGCTATATTAAGATACTGTTTGAACAAGAGAAATCAAAAGTTCATTAATTTCTGCGCTAGTTTGGTTATTAGGTTTTTTTTCGTATCTTCACTAATAAGGGTGGGGGAAGCTGGTGAAAAAATAGTTATAGAAATTGCTATATCTGACATACCCCTCATCCAAACTCATTCAATTTGGGCTTATTTGGAAGAGAATTTCATTGTTATTAAGAACACCACTTCGTTCGAGATCGATAGTTCCCACCGCGTCTTCTAGAGGGCGCTGTTTATCCAAGATCCAATTTTTTCTAATTTTCATGAAAAATCCAGATGGCATGGTATTATATTTGTATTGCTGTGCTTAAAGAACAAAAAAATATCTACATTTTGGCGCGAACCGCAATTCAATATCTGCATTCGTTTTCAAGTTACGTAAGGTCTATGGTCTCCATAATATCGTACCTGGCCATCCTTAGTGGGACACCCTGTATGGTTTAAGTACTTTTAATCAAGCCGTTTTGGAAATATCAGGCTCTAAACTTTACGAAAATTAAGTGCATTGAAAGACCTGTGTCATATCAAACAATAATAATGGCTCCACCTGCCAAGCTGTTTGTTGTTTGTCAGAGTGTTCTGACGTCATCACTTGGAGTGCACTCTAGGTGCGCTATTTCTGAACGTATTGGGGCGTTGTGGTAAATATCAACGTCAATCTCGGTAAAAACCACGGGGCGTTTTTCAACCCAGTCGCTGAGTGGGGTAATTTGGGCGTACTCTGGGCGTGTCAATTCTTGTTTTCTGAACAATTCCAGCGTAACGCTCCGAGTAAGCACCTGGTAATTTATGAACGGTTCAGAGTTACTCTAGGATCACTCTCACACCCAGAGTGCTATTTCTAAACGCAACCCAGTAGTTAAACCATATATATCTGAAATCAGAAAATTCGACTCTTTTCAACTAGGATGTCATATATGGGGTGTTTCATAAGAAAAAACTGACCATCTGTCAAAATTTGAAATTTATGAAAAGCAAAAAAGTTTTTGACATCGTATTTAAAAATTCCAGGGAAAACCCGAAAACTTTTGTATCTACAATTTTTTGATATCTCATCACATAGCACCTGTAGTGGGAGGGTCAATATAGGGCGAAAGACCCTGTATACATAAATAATAGTTGTTAATTCTTTAATAAACATCAGTACCTATTAATCCAACAGTGGTTTTAACTCCCCATTTACCAAACTTCCCGGGTTCCCAGAGAAATTCGAAATTTCAGTATTTAGTAGCAATAGAAAAAGCAAAATGTACCATACATATAAAAACACATTTCCTACTTGTTGGAAATATATTATTTCCCTTACTAGTTACACAATATACATATTTCAATTACCTGTAGATTATCATTATGCGACTCGTGCCTCAATCGTTTACCATTAATAGTATACGAAGCAACATTTCCCTTTTCATAGTTAACAACAATTACACCTTCACGAGACATGGCAATGTTTTCAGGCGAACTAAACCCTGTGGGTGGATCTAGGGACCTTAACAAATCCCCAAAAGTTGTATGTACCAAAACTGGACCATCTAAAACGAAATATTATTGAATCAAAATAGGCATTCAATATTGAAGATACTCACGATAAGATCCAGAAACAACCAATCCCAATTCGGCTGATATAACAACCCCAGACACAGGTTGTTCGTGTCCAGTCAACGTAGCTCTCGGAGTAGGAATTTCGCCTTCGCCAACAATAGTTTGCGTCCTGGCATTCCAATGCCACAACAGTACTGTACAATCGGCCGATCCGGACGCAATGTAGCAATCTGATGTTATGTTGCATTCGGACCTGGACAGGCAGGTAACTACACCATAGTGTCCGAAAATGATTTGGACGATTTTGGCACTTTCCGTTGAAAAGACGCGGAAGCTGTTGTCCCAGAAACCGCACGCTATTAGGAATTTCGAGTCCACGGTGGTTACGAAACAATTCGAACGGATTTTTAGGTTTTGGCTGAAATTGTCGCCCAAGTTACGGCGGAGCATTTGGTTTTGTTGGTTACTGTTATTGGTCAGAGCTGAAAAGGAATTTTGTTTGGTTTTTATCAACAATGCATTATTATATGGGATTAAGGAGAAAAAAATTAATTGTGCAACTACAGGGTGGTGCAAAACAACTGGAATTGACAGTCTCATACTACTGTCTCTATAGGACTTGAAAATTTGCATCACCCTCTACCATCAAAAAAACTCTAGTACTACAAAACAAAGACAGTAGAATAGTGAGTGATAGCTTACATTCCAACTTACACAAAACAGGATCCATGGACAATGGCAAATTGGCAGTTTGATCTTTTGGCGTATCTGCGTAGCTAGGGGATTGAGCTACGGCTGCGTAAGCCGAGTTCCACTTGTTAACAGCAAATTGCTGATGCATGGAAACAGTAACGACTGAAGGATTGGGTAGTTGCGGGTAAGTGTTGGCCGAAATGTGAACTATCGGGCTGTTGGATAGGAACTTCATTGTCATGCAGATGTCGTCGGGGATTGTCGAGAACATCATTGGAGACTAAAATAAATAAATTATTGCTTTGATTTTTTATTTTCGAATTATAACTCACCAAATGCATTGCTGAACTTCTAGGTGGGTGCGGTTCCATCAACAACTGAGAAGGAGTTTGTCCAAAGTTTCTTATTTGATTCTCAACAGCTTCTTTCATTACTTTATCGTGTATCGAATCCAAATCGACGCTTCCTTCATAAGTCAAATAATAGAAACAATTTGTAGCTCGTACTGCTTCAGGTCCTTTTTGCTTGTAGCCGAAAATCAAATCGATCCACTGATGTAATTGACAGGAAACGAATTCTGATTCTAAAGCCATCCGGTTTATTCTTATGAATTCTTCTGGGGTGCTGGCCCATGGTGGTAATTCAACGTCACTGATCGGTTTACCATCCTCGTTCACTCCTAAACGATAGCGGTTTGAATTCACAAACATTTCTGGTAAGAAATAGAATTCTGGAATGAGTTCTTTTACATCTGAAGTGTCTCTTTGGCAATTTTTCCATGACAGAGCCACGGACGAGAATAAGCGGTTGGGATAGTCGAATTTGCCGCCTTGTAATGCAAGGAACATTGTTGTAAATGGTTCCTATAAAAACAATCAATTTATACAAATTCACAAACAAATTCCTCTTACCATTCTTATAAGCCAGTTAAATACAAATGCGGACGTTGAGTAGTGGGTTCCATAATGGAACGGCGGAATGCTTTCGTGTTCCCAGGTGGAATACCTGTCTTCAAAGTAAGCCCTTCTGCTAGGATTTAGAGCTCCGATTGGTTTGGACAAGTCCCTATAGTTGCTAGGCTGGCTAAGGTCGAGCTCTTTGGATTCAAAGTTGGTAAGAACCCACGGGAAGACTGGGTATTGGTTGAGGTCGTTATAGGTTCGTCCTGAAATAAGATGTTGATGTTTAATAATTTATCCTGAAAATAGATGTTAATAGGTCCCCCCCAATTTTCCTCTAACAAAACACAAATTTTTCATGTATCCTAAGTGCCTTTAAAACGCCGTAAGCGACCGTGCTGCGAGCCGCGACATAAGTCAAACTAATTACCCAATTAATTACGACCCAAGTTCGTTATATCAGACGCTTTTAGAACTTAATTATTTACAGCTCATAGGATACACTTTTAGTTTTTTTTTTGTGTTCAGGTTGTTTTGAAAACCTGGTAAATCTTTGTTGTAAGAATCTAATGGAAAAGGCCGGTCGGTGTTTGGTGTATAAATTTGTCATTTTGAGGAAATTGATAAAGGAAGAGAGACGTGGTTGATTGAATAATATGTTAAGATTTGAGCATATTTAACAATGAAAAAGTTGTAAAGTTAGTCACTGTTGCCAGGTCAAAAAAATTAAATTGGAATAAAAAATTATCAGATTTAAAAAAAAATCACCAGAAATTTGCAAAAATTGATTTTTCTGAAAAATTCTCGCCTTACGGGCTTATATCAAACCAAGTAGGCTTGGGAAACATGTATGTATTGCAATGTCGGTATTACAGCCCAAGTAGGCCTTGCAAATTTCAAATTTTCCATAACAGTAATTATATAAACATCGGCAACACTGTTGGGCAAAATGTCAAATATCATTTATCACACGCAACAAGATTACTACTTATCAAAAACTAAGTGAACCTTGAAGCAATCTTGGACTGGAATCATGAAAAGTAAAATTCTATTTTCATGACGTCACCCGCGACCTATTTATCGCGTATACTACAGGCGATGATCACTGTTGCTAGGCAACCTGACGTCATTTAAGTCGAATTCGATGTCGGTAATACAGATAACTGTAAGCAAAAAATTTATCAAATCAAGTAGGTCTTGGAAATAACCCAGCCATTTTAAATTAACTGTCAAAAACTACAGGGCCTACTTTGAAACGTTAAATTGCGTTAGGGTTACTACATTTTTCGACTAGGGTTGCTACGTTTTAAATTTTTCTTCCAAAACCTAATAATTTTGTGAATTTTAACAAATCCTTTGCTAAAACCAGTTCAGAAAAAATGTATTTCTATCTCTTTTCTATACAAACTAGTAAAAAAAGACACGAATACACTCAGTGTACACTAATGCCGTTGAAAATAATGCAAATTGAATAAAACAATTAAGCAAAAATAGAGCTTCAAACGTAACTTTAATGAAAAAAATCGTAAGTTTGACAGCAACAGTTCGCAGGCCCATAGGGTCGGGGTCTTTTTAATTTACGAGCCCGAAGGGCCGGGGTCTACTTAAGTTACGAGGCCAGAGGGTCGGGGTCTTTTTAAATTACGAGTCCGTAGGGGCGAGGGTTTTTATGTGTGGTCACCTTTATCGTGTGTATCTGGTTTTTCAGTCTCAATTTTTCAGGACTTTTTTCATTTTCTGAATTGAGTAGGAGAGAAAACTCCAATTAGTTGAATTTTTGTTAACTGTCGGAAAAGATTATAATATTTGGGTTTGACAGTTTGACTATTAGATAACATTGTGGTTTATAGACAAAATGTCGGATTCGGAATTCGATAATGCCATATGGTACAGCAGAAAATGTGGCTCAACTTTGAGATGTAATTGCTCGAAAAGTATTTGAGCTATGGAGCTCAATCTTGCATTGATTCATGGAAAATTTAATGCTCTTTCCAACAATGTATAATTTGTTTTGATTTGCTCAAATTTTAATGAAAATATTGGTAATTACTCCTAACTTTGTTAGGATTAAAAAAAAAATTGAACCTGAAAATTGAGATTTTCTTTTTGATTTTTTTTCTCTTCTGAAATCGAGATTTGCAAATGAAGTTAGAGTTATTTTCGACTAATTTAGATCCGCTCTATCGATTGGAAAAGTCAAAATTCAAAAAATCTGAAAAATAAAAATTTCGATTTTTTCAAAGGGTTGAACCTTTCGATTTTAATTTCAAAATTTTCAAACTCAATTTTCTCGAAACTCGTCAAAGATTCTGGATCAATTTTTTTCTAGTATTGTAGCCCTTGATGAGAGCCGAAAAATGGCACTTAGTTGAAGTCGCTGGCATTTACGGTTTTTGAGAAAATCGAGTTTGAAGTTTTTGACTAAATTTTAACTAAAATCAAACTTTGAGGCTCAATTGCTCTAAAAGTATTCATGTTATCAAACTCAATCTAGAACTGATTTATAGAGAATTTGATGTTCTTTCCAACCATATATAATTTATTTTGATTTGCTCAAAATTTAATGGAAGTATTGGCAATTGCTCCTAACCTTGTCAGAATTTTTAAAAAATTTAGATCTGAAAATTAAGATTTTCTTTTTGATTTTTTTTCCCCTTTTGAAATCGAGATTTAAAAATGAAGTTAGAGTTTTTTTTCGACTAATTTAGATCCGCTCTATCGATTGGAAAAGTCAAAATTCAAAAAATCTGAAAAATAAAAATTTCGATTTTTTCAAAATCGAGTTTGAAATTTTTGACTAAATTTCAACTAAAATACAACTTTGAGGCTCAATTGCTCTAAAAGTATTTGAGTTATCAAACTCAATCTAGAACTGATTTATAGAGAATTTGATGCTCTTTCCAACCATGTATAATTTATTGTGATTTGCTCAAAATTTAATAGAAGTATTGGCAATTGCTCCTAACCTTGTCAGAATTTTTAAAAAATTTAGATCTGAAAATTAAGATTTTCTTTTTGATTTTTTTTTCCCTTTTGAAATTGAGATTTAAAAATGAAGTTAGAGTTTTTTTTCGACTAACTTAGATCCGCTCTATCGATTGGAAAAGTCAAAATTCAAAAAATCTGAAAAATAAAAATTTCGATTTTTTTAAAATCGAGTTTGAAGTTTTTGACTAAATTTCAACTAAAATACAACTTTGAGGCTCAATTGCTCTAAAAGTATTTGAGTTATCAAACTCAATCTAGAACTGATTTATAGAGAATTTGATGCTCTTTCCAACCATATATAATTTATTTTGATTTGCTCAAAATTTAATGGAAGTATTGGCAATTGCTCCTAACCTTGTCAGAATTTTTAAAAAATTTAGATCTGAAAATTAAGATTTTCTTTTTGATTTTTTTTTTCCCTTTTGAAATCGGTATTTAAAAATGAAGTTAGAGTTTTTTTCGACTAACTTAGATCCGCTCTATCGATTGGAAAAGTCAAAATTCAAAAAATCTGAAAAATAAAAATTTCGAGTTTTTCAAAATCGAGTTTGAAGTTTTTGACTAAATTTCAACTAAAATACAACTTTGAGGCTCAATTGCTCAAAAAGTATTTGAGTTATCAAACTCAATCTAGAACTGATTTATAGAGAATTTGATGCTCTTTCCAACCATGTATAATTTATTGTGATTTGCTCAAAATTTAATAGAAGTATTGGCAATTGCTCCTAACCTTGTCAGAATTTTTAAAAAATTTAGATCTGAAAATTAAGATTTTCTTTTTGATTTTTTTTTCCCTTTTGAAATTGAGATTTAAAAATGAAGTTAGAGTTTTTTTTCGACTAACTTAGATCCGCTCTATCGATTGGAAAAGTCAAAATTCAAAAAATCTGAAAAATAAAAATTTCGATTTTTTTAAAATCGAGTTTGAAGTTTTTGACTAAATTTCAACTAAAATACAACTTTGAGGCTCAATTGCTCTAAAAGTATTTGAGTTATCAAACTCAATCTAGAACTGATTTATAGAGAATTTGATGCTCTTTCCAACCATATATAATTTATTTTGATTTGCTCAAAATTTAATGGAAGTATTGGCAATTGCTCCTAACCTTGTCAGAATTTTTAAAAAATTTAGATCTGAAAATTAAGATTTTCTTTTTGATTTTTTTTTTCCCTTTTGAAATCGGTATTTAAAAATGAAGTTAGAGTTTTTTTCGACTAACTTAGATCCGCTCTATCGATTGGAAAAGTCAAAATTCAAAAAATCTGAAAAATAAAAATTTCGAGTTTTTCAAAATCGAGTTTGAAGTTTTTGACTAAATTTCAACTAAAATACAACTTTGAGGCTCAATTGCTCAAAAAGTATTTGAGTTATCAAACTCAATCTAGAACTGATTTATAGAGAATTTGATGCTCTTTCCAACCATGTATAATTTATTGTGATTTGCTCAAAATTTAATAGAAGTATTGGCAATTGCTCCTAACCTTGTCAGAATTTTTAAAAAATTTAGATCTGAAAATTAAGATTTTCTTTTTGATTTTTTTTTCCCTTTTGAAATTGAGATTTAAAAATGAAGTTAGAGTTTTTTTTCGACTAACTTAGATCCGCTCTATCGATTGGAAAAGTCAAAATTCAAAAAATCTGAAAAATAAAAATTTCGATTTTTTTAAAATCGAGTTTGAAGTTTTTGACTAAATTTCAACTAAAATACAACTTTGAGGCTCAATTGCTCTAAAAGTATTTGAGTTATCAAACTCAATCTAGAACTGATTTATAGAGAATTTGATGCTCTTTCCAACCATATATAATTTATTTTGATTTGCTCAAAATTTAATGGAAGTATTGGCAATTGCTCCTAACCTTGTCAGAATTTTTAAAAAATTTAGATCTGAAAATTAAGATTTTCTTTTTGATTTTTTTTTCCCTTTTGAAATCGAGATTTGCAAATGAAGTTAGAGTTATTTTCGACTAATTTACATCCGCTCTATCGATTGGAAAAGTCAAAATTCAAAAAATCTGAAAAATAAAAATTTCGAGTTTTTCAAAATCGAGTTTGAAGTTTTTGACTAAATTTCAACTAAAATACCACTTTGAGGCTCAATTGCTCAAAAAGTATTTGAGTTATCAAACTCAATCTAGAACTGATTTATAGAGAATTTGATGCTCTTTCCAACCATAGATAATTTACTTTGATTTGCTCAAAATTTAATAGAAGTATTGGCAATTGCTCCTAACCTTCTCAGGATTCAAAAAAATTTGAACCTGAAAATTGAGATTTTC